GCAGAGGTGCCCAGTGTCACCTCCTGGTGCTGGGGAAGTCCCAGCTCCCGCATGGAGCCTGCGGGGTCCGGCTGCAGCCCCAGGGACCGGGGTGCCAGGGGTCTCCCCTGCCAGGATCCTCCCTTGGCACATTTTGCTTTCAATACCCAGCAAAGATGAAATCACTAAATAAAGAGAAAAATGCAGCTCTCGGTAACTGTTTCCATTTTAGAGCATCGGTTTGGTGGCTCTGATGGCTCTTGCGGGGCTGGTCTCTGATCCTTGCAGCTGACCCCAAGCACAAGCAGGTCCTGCGTGTCCCGCAGCACCCCCATGGCCTCATCGTCCCTGGGGTACCCTCAGTGACCCGCTGAGGGGACACAGTCCAACACCAGCCCAGGAGCTGCTCTTTAGCCCCCCAAGAGCCACCGTGTCAAGGAATAACTTTCCAAACCACAGGCAAACCCTGGGCAGGGGGTGAAGGGGGGCTGTCCCAGGGAATGGGGGCCCCCAGGTCTCTGCCTGTCCCACTCACAGGGCTGGTGTCCTTGTCTCCAATCAAGCTAAAGTTTGCTCAAGCAGAGCTGCTTCTGCCTTCAAGCTTAATTGTTTGCTGTAGGTCCTCCTGGGGTGTGTGCCGTGATGAGGAGGGGGTGGTGGGTGCATTGGTGCCAGCTGGGGGAGCCACCTGCCCTCCTGAAGCACCTGCGCTGCATTCCCAAACTGCACCTCCCTCAGGGTCCCCCTTTTCTTTAATAGCAGCAGGTGCCAGATGTTGGTGTTCCTTCCTCTCCCAGTGCTGCTCTTCCTGGCTGGGTATGGGCTGCTGGGCAGTGTGTGGGGAGGGACATGGTCCCCTGGGGCTGCTGCTGTGTGTGGGGCAGCACAAACTGGGGCACCTCTGGCACCCCAGTTCCTGTGCTGGGTTGTGCTGCTGGATTAAACACCAATGCTGGCAAAGGGCTTGATGCTTGTGTGGCATTTAGGGGCCTCCACGTGCTCTCTCTGGATTAAATGCTTCCCTGAGGCTTTAGCTGCTCTGGTTAGCCAACACTGCTCTGTGCTGGGAGGATGCACTGACTGTCCTCTGCTACCTTTACTTATGGCGCTCCCCTGCTGCAGGGAGGCTGCTCGTCCTCTTAGAGCTGGTTTTGTCTGTAAATGCATTTAACTGGCTTTTTCTTTCCCCAGGGGATGCCGAAGTGGCTAGGTGGTTTTTTAGTCTTCGCTTAGCAATGCTATCCTGCCCAGGGGAGGCTGGTCCAGCTGCCATCCTGGTGTGAGCTGCCTGCATGCTGCTGTCCTGGCTCTGGGCTTTTGGGACTGGAGAGTTTGCTCTCAGTGCTCCTAAGTCATGTTTCGTCTGTGTGTTTCTGCTGCAGAGCAGCCGAACACTGTTTCTTCTGGTGTTTGTTCCACAGGAGCAGGTTCCTGCTGCCAGTGTTGGATCTGCTGTGGAGGATGAGCAGCTCTTCTCCCTTCTCCAGGTTGCTGTCAGAGGAGAGGCCTGTTGCTGCCCTGTGGGGTATGGAGCTGCGCGCCCTGGGCTGGCTTGGTGGGACCTGGTGGCAGGAGTGAGTGGGGGGACAGTGGCTGTGCCCTGCAGGCACCCAGGGTGGGTGTGCACGGGGTGTGTTTCCCCCTTTCTCATGGTGTGTGCACCCAGGAAGGCCTCCCCTTTGCTTTTGGCTCGCCTGAGGCTTGCACAGGGGGAGCAGCACATGCGTGCACAGATGATGCTGTGTCCCTGCAGGCTGCCAGCTGAACACGGGCACCCGGAGCTTCATGGTGCAGGAGGACGATGACTTCTTGGAGCACCTGGTCCTGCTGAGAACGGTGAGATCTGAGGCTTGCCGAAGAGCCCGTCGGAGCAAGCCTGTACCCCAGCAGCGGGGCCAGCTGATGGCCAGGCTCCCTGCCACAGGGTCTCTGCTTGGCTCTGCAGATCTGCCTGGGGGCCGAGGCCAGGGATGAGCTGCACGTGGTGGCCGTTGATTCAAAAAACACATATGGAGACCACATGCCCATCGCGGCGCTGCGGACCTCAGTGCTCCCCATGGTAAGGGCAGCCAAACACCTGGGGTGCAGCCCCTGGCTGCGGGGTGAAAATTTCACGCTGGGAGCCTGGTCTCCACTGAGCCGTGGTCGAGGCTCTGGGCAATGCTGGGGGCTCCTTCCCGCCCTGGCCATGTCCATCTGACTGCCCGCAAGCCCCTGCCTGGTGCAGAGGAGTTGCTTGCCCTGTGATGGTGCTGCAGGGATTAACATGGGCTGCTGCCCACCTAGGCTGGGCTCGGGGGGGTGGGCTCTGAGCTCTGACTTTGCAGATCAGCCTCAAAGGTCTGGAGCTGGTCCCTCCTGTCACCTTCGTGCTCAAGTGTGGAGCTGGACCAGTCTATCTCAGCGGGCAGCATGTCACCCGTGAGTGCGCCGGGCTGCAGGGCCAGGGCAAGCGCGTGGGCTGGGGGCTGCACTGGGGATGCTCCTGGGTTCCACGGTGGCTTTAGTGGCAGCTGGTGCCCTCAACAGGGCGGCTTCACCCCGGGGATGGAGGGATTGCTGGTCTGCGGGGAGGGATTAGTGCTTGTTTGCGTTCGTGGGCTCAACACAGTGGTCAGTGCCGGCTCTCCGCTCTGCCTTTGGTGCCGCGGGGTGGGACGGTGTCCGTGTTCCCACTCCCAGCGTGGGGTGGGGGTGCTGGGTGTGTTTGCAGCTGGGGGGGGTTTGCCTCCCCTCAGCGGGTCAGGGCCACCTGTTCCTGCTGCAGCCCTGCATCTCCTCTTCTCAGTGGAAGATGATGCCAAGTATGAAGGCCACGAGGAAGAGCTCTTGGAGGAAGACGCAGGTGATGAGGATGATGCTAGAGCATCATAGAATAGCTGCAGCTCGGAGAAGACTCTGTGGCCCTGGGAGTGGAGCTGGCGTGACGGTGATGGTGGGGACACCCTGTGCCGGGATGGTCCTTGAATGGGACGGGTCCTTGCAGGGGGACACAAACTGTCTGGGCTTTGGATATCATCCCTTGTCTCCTCTCCCTGCCCTCTCTGTTCCTACTGTGCTCCCAGAAATGCTCTTTTTTTCCCTCTTTTATTGCAATAACAATGGGAAAGTGCAAACCCCCTGGAGTTAGTCTGGACTGTGCTCTGGTGCTCCTGCGCCAGCCTGCTCTCGCATGCTGTCCTGTCCTTGCTGCCTCCGGTGGCTCCCTGCCTCCTCTTGGGGAAAACTTATTCCACGTGTGCAATTACCGTGATGCTGTGGGTCGTGCTGCTAAGCCATGGGGCTGGGGGGCTGGGGATCCCAGGGAGCAGCCCCTGGGGAGCTGCAGGCTGCTGCTGCCTGCTCCCCTGCCCTACCCGCTGCCAGGACAGGAGGCACAGGGGCTCTCCCAGCCCCAGCGTGTCTGGAGGAGGAAGGCTGCACAGTGCTCTGGCTCGGGGCTTGCATGTCCACATAAGCTCAGCCACCCCTTCTGGGGGAGGACATGATGCTCTGAGGCTGAGGTGATTGTGCCCTCTCCCCCCGGCCCCTCACAGCCCTGGCACCAATTATCCTGCACGGTCCCTTCTAATGGTCCTTCTGTTCCGGTAGGAATTGCTCTGACCGTTGCCTGTTTGGATCAACAGGACAAAGTTGTGTTGCCGTCTTCATGGCAGCCCAGGAAATGCAGCCAAAAGCTGCCTAGAACAAGCAGCCGCTGAAATAATATAATTAAAACTCCTAATGGAGAAAATTGCCCAAATCCATTATATGCATGATATTAGCTGGCAGCGAGGTTGACTTTTAAAGAGGAGCCCTGAATCTGCAGGGGGGGTGGGCTGGGAAGGGAGCACACAGGTCTTTTTTTATTTTCCCCACTTACAAAAGAAAAGGCCACAGAGATGAGTTGATTGGCGCGTGGAGGGAAGATTGCTGTCATCATGCTGTAATGGCTTGGGAGGGGCCAGAGATGGGCCGGGGTGAAACCAGCTGCCAGCCCTGATGGGCTGCAGCCGGGCAGCGTGTCAGCCACCAGCGTGGGCTGTGCCCGGCCCTGGGCTCGGGTACACAAGGGGACAGGATCGCAGGGTGATCCCGCGCAGCCTTTGCCCCGGGAAGGGGTTTCTCGGGCATCACCTCCGGCAAGGCAAGTGTGCGCCCTGAGCCCCTTCCCCGTGCGTGGGTTTGACGTGTGCCCTGGGATGGAGAGCAGAAAGCCACGGCTGTGCACAGCCCCAAGGTCTGGGGGGGGGGGGGGAAAAAAAAAGTCTGGGGGTGGGAGGGGGGGAGAGGATGGAAAGAGCAAAACTGTAATGAGCAATTAACTCATCTGGCTCTTCTTTGCACTTGCCTCGCTCCCAGCACACAAGACTGTGTGTGCTACTTCTGGAGAGAAGGTCAGAGCCACAACCATTGCATTTCTCATTGAAACAGGTGATTCTGGCTTATTTTCCCCACTGGGATCAGCTCCAGGACCTGTCTCTGATCGGAGCTGGTCAGTGTGACGGTGAGGGCTCTCCCTTGCACCCTGCTGCCAGGACTGCTCGGGTTGAAGGTGCCTCGTGGGGGCCAGAGCGTCCTGCGTGAGCCTGGGGGCGATGCAGCCCCCCTGCTGCCCGTCCCAGAGGTGTTCTGCAGGTGCTGGGTGCAGGCAGGGGTGCCAGCCACGGAGGAGCAGGAATAAAGGCTGATGAATTCATTGCTCCTAATTCCTCAGGCAGGAATGAAATGCGCTGTTAATTGGAAAGCTTGCTGAATGCCGGCTGCTCGGCGTGATCCAGCAGCTGCACTAAGATATCTCGCTGAGTGCGGATTAAGCCCTATAAAGAAATCCAGGAAGAAAAGAAAGACAAAGCGGATTAAGGTCAGTGCCAGTGAATTTGCACAGTGGCCTCTTCAACTCCCAGTGGGTGTCAGGGAAGCGCCTGGCAGCAAAGTGCACAAAAGCTGCTGTGGTGCTGGCTGATGTGCTGGTGCCTTCCCGAGAGCGGCAGGAGCCTGGCAGCGAGGCCCCCCCAGCTGACCCCTGCATGCAAGGACTAACTCCCCGGTGCTTGCCGGTGTGTGCACGGGGACAGAGCTGTCACCCCGTGTGAGCCGCAAGCCCCTTGCAGGAGCCTGGTCACAGGACAGCGTGCACAGCCCCGGCTGCAAAGGCAGTGTGGGACCCTGGAGAGCCACGGCCCGTGGCTGGAGCCGGCGTAGCACCAGCAGCGGAAAGGGTGGGTGCTTGGGGAGATGCTCTGTCCCCCTTCCCACAGCCCCTGGCAGTGGTGCGCTTGCCCCGTCCTGCATCCTGCAGAGCAGCATCTCCTGGAGGGCTTTGGCATAACCATGGCAACTGCCGGGTAATTAATAGACAAGTCTCAACGCCATGGAGACAAAACAGGCACAAACGGAGCGTGCTGGGCACGCGGCTGCGTGCCCGCCCAGCCACGCGTGGAGGGCCCCGGTGCAGGATGTGGCCCCTGGGCACACTGTGTGCAGCTGGTGCTGTGTCCACCCAGCCGGCACCGAAACGGGCTCCATTCCCCCCCGTGGCAAGGACGTCCCCTCGTCACCCTGCTGCGAGGGTGGCACGTGGCAGCCGTCATCCCCGGGGCAGGACAGGGCTCTGCACGTGCCGGGCACGAAGAGGCAGCCCCGAGCTCCTCGTAGCATTCGTACGCGGGATGGCTGCCAGCCTGTGACACAAAAGCAGGACTGCCCGTTGAGTGCCTGGTGGCTTGAAGACTTTCTTTGGAGAATGACTGAGAAGAGTTTTGGCAGAGAAGGGGGATGCGAGGATGACATTTTAATGCAGAAGATGCTCCCGTTAGGCTAAAAGCTGCTTCAGAGATTTCTTTCAGGCTAACTTGTTCCCCCGGGGTTTGTGGGCTTTGCACAGGGTGATGGGCACGACAGTCCTGGGCTCAGCAATAAGACAGCCCCGAGCACTCGCAGCATCGCAGCCTGACAGGGCTGGAAGCTGGTTTTGGATGGCTTTGCTGGGTCCCCGGTGCTGTGTGGCTCCAGCTGTGTGCACGTCCTCCAGGTGTACACGCTCACGCCCTAAAGTCCAGGGGAGCTGCACGAGACTCCCCAGGGAGCCGGGGCTCACCCCAGGCTTTGCCTGTGCAGAAATGTTTGTGCCTTCCCCTGCTCAGGGGCGGTCCCACACCTCCACGGGGCACAAGTCGCAGCCCCTCCTGCCTTTTTGCACGAGCACCCGATTAATAAAAAAAAAAGAATGCCTATTTATTTTGCGCATAAGTAGCCAATTATTTGACGCATCAGCACTCCATCAGTTCACTCATGAGCACCCAGCTAATTGCACGAGGGTTTAAATGGTGCAAACCTGAGCACCCAGTGAGTGCACGGGTGAGCACCCCATTAATGTCCTTGGGTGCCTGGTTGGTGTGGGTGCGTGCCCAGCTAGCTCTGGTATGAACCCCCGTTATCTCAGGAGTCCAGTGCTGGGCAGAAAGGGCAGGGGGAGGCCTGAGCCTGGGGACAGGGGAGGCATTTCCCCAAATACCTTTCAATTATTTACATTTTCTGCTGCCTCAATACACATACCAAGGATGAGAAGCTTGTGCTAATTGCAATAAATTAAAATAAGTCAAACTTCCCCTAGTTGAGACTGTTTTGCCCTGGTCCCCCTCCTCGTCCAAAGGGCCGGGAGGGCCGGATCCGGCCCCACTCTGGGAGCAGGGGCAGCTGCAGCAAACAGATGGGGTGCACGGCCGAGCCGCCCGCCTGGGTAGAGCTGGACCAAAACCACCACGGTCTCACCATGCCCCGGCGGCTGGTGAGAGGGGCACTGGGGGGGTCCTCTCCCCTCTGCATCCCCAGGGCAGCCCCCGAGCAAGAGCCTGCCCAGCCTGTTGGAAGGCAGCTGCCTTTAAATGCCGCTGGGAGGCACAACTTAACTCTTTGCTGCAGGTGCTTCATTTGGAAAAGTGGCCCTTGGTTTGGGGACGCGTGCGGGGCTGAGGATGTATCTCAGGAGGAGGCTTCTGCACACGGTAATTTATTTACGGGGGATTTTTACCTGCTGATGCTCAGCTGGCAAAATCGGGAGCAGAACAAAGAGCGTTGTGGGGCTGGCTGTGGGGGGAGGCGGTTGCACGGCTTTGGATTCAGCAGCAAACGTTTACTAAGAGGGACTTTATTCTGAAACACCTCTTCCATCTCCGAGTGCATCCTTTGAGGTGGGGTGCCTTGCAAACACGTGGGGTGAAGCAGGTAGGGTGCATGGAAGTCGATCTAAAAACCCAGTTAATGCAAATTCAGACTGTGGAGCTTTTGGGGGGCTGCTGAGACGTGTTACAAAACTGTGGGTGGGTGCAGCTTTCCATTGGGTTACCCTGGGGACTTCCAAAATCTGCTGGGTGGGTTTTGGTCTTACTATATCAGGTACGTGAAGGCTTAAGGGTGAAATAACGGCTGGCACAGAGAGAAATAAACAGGGTGGCAAGTCCTGTGCTGCGAAAGAGTGGGAGATCATATATGGAAATAGCCCAGGAAATTAAAGTTGGACTGCAGCGGGTGGTGAGATGATTCAGTGGGCGGGAGGGAGGCAGGGGATGCGGGAGCAGCCCGGGAGAGAGGGCTGCACCGGGCAGGGGGTCCCGGGGGTCTGGCAGCGAGCACTGTGTGCCGGGGATGGGAAAGGTGCTGCTTGCGCTCCCCCGAGGCCGGCTGCTGGTGAGGGGCTCCTGGCAGGACCCAGCTGCCCGCGTGAGGCAGCCCGGGCAGGCAAGGACCTGTCTGCCAGGACTGATCTAATTTTTGCCCCAGAATTTCCTCCTTGCCCCCCGTCCCATTCCCTTCACAGCTGATTACATGAAAACGTTGCTTCTGGCAGGACCGTGCCGGGGTCTATGAAAATACCTTGGCTGAGCCCCCTGAAT